TGATAGTGTTAAAATTTCTTTTGTAACATTTACTATCTAAAGGTCTGAAATAGGATTAATTATCTTGTTAAAGCGATTACTGTAGATTGGTTTAACTTAGATCTTCCTATCTGTATTTGTTCTTATGCCTTCTGTTATAACATATTACCGACATTAAAGTGTACCTTAAGAAATAAAAGCAAAATAAAAATTAAATAAAAATGAATAATAAAAAATAAAATCAAAAATTTTAATGCATAATAGAGCTTTAAAAATAAATAATAATTTAACTCGTTAGTCCTTACCAGACCTAGTTGATTATTTGTTTTTAATCAATAAGAATGCATAGGATGTGTTTTCCGTCCTCTTAGAGCTCTAATACATTTTATACATGTGTATTTATCTTACTAAGTAATCTGTTAATTATGGAATGCCGGTAGGGACATGCCACTTTGCTTATTTGCCAACAACTGAATTGCTTATTTGCTAATTGCTGATTTGCCATTTTGGTTATTTGCTAATTGCTGATTTGCCAATTTGCTTATTTGCTAATTGCTGATTTGCCAATTTGCTTATTTGCCAATTGCTTATTTGCTTATATACATAAATTTGTATGCTATTGTCAGGCGACACGTCCGACTCGCGAAGTTCTTGTTTGATATGACATAACAAGTCTTTGTAGACTTTATTTCAAGCTCATGAACCTATATCATGTTATTATGTTGATAAAGTTTTGTTAATTATAACTTGTGTAAATTATGATCAATCCATCATTACCTTGAATATAGGTAGACAGACAGATGGATACTTTTTATTCAATTTCGAAAAATATAAATTCAGTTTCAAAAAGTAGTTGTTTTTTAATTATCTTGAGTTTCAGTTTTAGCTCCACTATTCAGAGAATAGGGATGCTATTCTACCCACCAAGGCATTGGTTTTCTTGGTAACTTGTTTTTCTGTCATATCTCTGTTACTTTTGCTGATTTATGCTTACTGCAACTTTGCATAAACTTTGCATAATTACAAGCATGCATACATGAAGAAGCTGTCCCTGTTATATACTGAATGTCAAGGTCACCAATGAATTTACTCTCCTGCGCATCGGTCGAATGTTCCACTATCGCTCACTTCTTAAGTAACGGGAGTGTATTCAGTAAGCTGCGAAGGGAGCGTACAATGAATTGTACTACGAAGCCTTTGTTTTTCTGTCATATCTCTGCTACTATTGCTTATATCTAACTGTAACTTCACATAAGCATTAGGTAGCATGCATACACAATATTCAATATTCCATTATACCCTAGGTCATGATCATGGTCATGGTCACCTGATAGCATGTAAAATGTTCAACATGAAGAAATGGAAAAGTGTGACCAAATTTCAAAAACATTGAACAAAAGCAAAATGTTGATGGACACACAGACATAAGTGATCTCAAAATCTTACAGAGCTAAAAACGAAGCCTATTGCTTAAGTGCAAAGACAAACACCCGTGTTTAGCATGCACCAAGTGTATCATTCGTGATACTATGTGTTCCTACCACTAAAATGAAGCCCTCCGTGACAAATCTCCTGAGAATAACGACATTTTATATGCCATAAAATAAGAAATAGTTTTGTTTTCAAGTTCTTTTATTTTCAATCTTTATCCAATAATTTCCAATTATATATGACCAATCAAGTGTTTATTATGCCATCAATCTCTGACTTAAGCTGCACAAACAGATCTATAGCTGCAACACAATACGTATAAACCATTCTCAAGCACAGACGCTGGGGGTAAGATCCTGCCCCCAACGTGATACGCCTCTGTAAACACTATATCAAAACTATTTTAATATTTATTTAAATACTAATTGGACATCTGTTACAACGATAAACCATTAAGTACTTTATTGAGACTTGGTGGTATATGGTGTTTTTTCATACCGGTATATGTAAAGATTGTTTGAAAATCATTTTTAACGATGTCAAATTCGTGTTTAAATATTAAAATATTTTAATAGAGTGTTTACAGGGGCACGTATCACGTTGGGGTACAGGATCTGACCCCCAAGCGTCTGTGTTCTCAAGGACATGTCAGCCATCAGTTGTAGACATATATCTGCTTAGGCATCACTGCAACTAAATTCATTGACCAACAGTATTCTTGGAAAAACACTAAATGTACAAGAATACTGTTGGTAAAAGTTAACAGATCTGACTCAACTGGTTGTCTGTAGTCAGATTTTCCATATACTTCCGGCACAGTGTAAACTATTTCTTTTGCAAAAAGCAAATTAGCAATCGGCAAAAAAGCAAATACGTAAACCAGCGGCTAAAAAATAAGCAAATTAGCAATTCAGCAATTGGCAAATAAGCATATTTGTCATTAAGCCTATCAGATATTGGCAAATAAGCAAAACAGCAATTAGCAAATAAGCAATTCAGCAATTGGCAAATAAGCAAATTGGCATGTCCCTACCGGCATTCCATAGTTAATGATCACAAAAGGTTTAATATTTAAATACCCGTACATGTATTAGTTCATCGTACTTTTATTTTCGGTTTATATCCTTCGTTCGCCTCATGATACGTTACAAAATAAGTCATTGCATAGATTCTACTGGGAAACCAAACATTTGAAAAAGAAACTAAAATTTTTATTTGTAAAATTAAACATAAAATTCTTTTATTTTGTACACGTCAACTTCGTTTATTCGGCCGTGTCAAATCGTTTTTCTTTATGTCTCTATTGGATAATTGAACACTGAAAACGAAAGTAGGAGAAAGTATGTATGTAGAGATTTTTTTACATTTATTTATTATAAAACATCTTGTGTCTCTGCGAGATCTTTGTACATGTAACTCATTGTTTATTTAGAAAAATAGTATTTGTTTTTTCCCTCTCTTTCTTTCAACCTGTAATTATTGAATTAGATTCAGATCATTTAAATTAAACTGTATTGTGAGATTCATTAATTTTCGTATGGGTTTCGTATAAATTTCTTAATATTTTCTATACTACTCACACCGTTACCGGCGGCAGTGATGGCAGATCACTGCAGTGATGGCAGATATCTGAAAATTACCGATCGGTACAGGTAGGTTATAAATTTGGTTGGTTTCATTATATTAAACAAATACGGCCCATATGAATGAATAAATATATATTTAAATGGGAGCACGTGATGTTAGAACTGTTGTTAATAGTTTAGCATATAGTAAATGTAATTCAAAGGCAAACTACAACGCTATTACAAACATGAAAATTTAAAGAAATGAATCCACGTTGTCGTGTTTTTCAAGAACTTGATAATATAGGAAAATATTTGAACTTTCAATGATATTATCTTTCCATTTTACATTAACATACATTGTTTTATGATACACTGATGCTAGTTGCGAGGTTAATAGCCTCCCCTTTATTACATCAATTTAATATCTTATAATCTGCGCCGATTATGTAAATTGCAGCCTTTATTTGTAATAAAGCGATTAACATTATTACCTCGAGAAAATAATGTCATATGCTAGCAAATGAATATCCACTTACAGAAGTTACTTGCTGTAATATGCAATTGGCGTTATGTCTTAAAAGGGGAGTGCGCTGCTAAACTTAAGATACATACATGTGTAGTATTGTATGCATGTAACTGACATACACAACAGATCAAGCACACATGCATGAATATAGGAAAATGAAGTTTTTAATGTTCATTTCTCTATTTATAGTGCAATTTTGTCGTACTAAATCATCAATTTTTGTATTGTAACTGCATGTTGCTAAAAAGCTTTTTCCGATGCACATACCGCATTAATAACTTTTCTATCTTGAGAAAATATTAGAAATGATAGTTTAACGTCTCAATTCCGACTAAAAGGACGCAAAGAAAAGAGAAATTGATAAAAGATTGAACTTGATTTTCTGTCAGAATGTTAGCCACTTTCATGGTATTTCTGCCATCGACGGCAGCATTTATAATATGTATCTGCCTACAACGGCAGCATTTTTTCTTCGACCGGACAAGATTGAGCGTCTGTAAAACTTTCAAGAAAAGACTCACGGAGTAGATATTTGGCTTGCGTGACCCCAATGGATGATTGTCTATATTGATAACAGGAAATCCTGCCATTTACTTAAAACTTAATATAATTATACCAACCACATTTATAACCTACCTGTACCGATCGGTATTTTTCAGATATCTGCCATCACTGCAGTGATCTGCCATCACTGCCGCCGGTAATACGGTGTGCTACTTCGATACTTAAATCAATGAATACTGCTTGATGGCCCACAATGGCGTAGTGGACAGAATTGTGATTGCAAGTTCGAAACTCGGACAACCCTTATTATTGTAGTTTTCATAACCTGATCCGGGTGAGCATATAGTCGCTACTGTGTCCGTCTGTCCGTCCGTCTGATTTTCTTGTCCGGGACATGACTCTGAAACGAAAAGAGATATCAACATGAAACTTTGTAGGTAGATAGATCTCATTGGGTAGATGTGCAGTGTCTAGGAACCGTAACTCTGCCCTTTTCCTAATTTTGGAGTAATTGCCCTTAGTTCATTTTTATACTCGGTACATAACACAGATGCCCTTAGTTCATTTTTATACTCGGTACATAACACAGAAACTATTAGAGATATCAACATGAATTGTGTATGTAGATAGATCTCATTGGGTAGAAATGCAGCGCAAAATAACCGTAACTCTGCCTTGCATCATTTGGGAGTTATTGCCCTTTGTTCATTTTTACACTTTGAATTTTGTGCGGTACATAACTCTAAAACTATAAAAGATATCAACATGGAACTTTGTTGGTAGATGGATCTCATTGGGTAGAAGTGCAGTGCCATAACCTTAACCAGAACCATAACCATGTCTTCCCTAATTTTGAGTTATTGCCCGTTGCTCATTTTTACACTTTGAACATTTTCCAGGACATAGATGATAGTCCTGAAAGTATAATAAATATGAAAAAGACACTTTGTAGGTAGGTATATTTCATTGGGTTGATGTGCAGTGCAAAAGAACTATAACTCTGTCTTGCCTTAATTTGGAGTAATTGCCCTTTGTCCATACATTGTGCAGGGCATAACTCTGACACTATAAGAGATATGAAACTTTGTAGGTAGATATATCTCATTGGCTTGCTTCCGACCGATGTTGGCCCTTGTATATTCTTTAGCGGTCACAAGAAGAGGATGAAAACAAAAGTGCATTGAACTGTTTGACCCACGAAACTTAAAGTGAATAATATTTATTTTTACACGAAGGCAACTATTTTGAAACAGATTAAACATAATTTGGTCAAAGTATGATCGACTTCAGATTAAAGTTTTGATCCATAGTGTATTTATAGCAACTAAAAGTGTGTTTCCTCAAGAAGTAAATTTTTCAATTTTTCAAAGTGATGTGTATTTGTATAAAACAGAGTTACAGCTGGGAATATCAATTATACCTTTTTCTAATTAAATATGCACAAATTCGCTAAATTATTAAAACCCTGGTCCCAACCTGCTGTTTGAAGCGAGGAAAAATTGTCTTTTCCGGGGAATTCGATAATCGAAAACTTAAAGGAACTCCACCGAGGTCAAAAAGCCTAAAAAGACAAAATTTGAATTTCTTACAAAGATCAACCACGGCACTTAAACCAGTATAATATGCAAAAGATATTTAAGAAACATTTTCTTAATAATTAAAAGTCATTTTTTTACAATTACAATCATCATTCTAGTAAAAATGTAGTAAACGAATTATCTGAAATTCTGCAAGCAAGCTATTGGTCTAGACCTACATCGAATGAAACATTAGTCTCGAAAAATTATTTCCAGTCCAGTTTTTTCAAAAACTCTCGGTGGAGTCCCTTTAATGTTAGATCCCCGGTAACAGCTACATAAGTTTACTATTACAGATGGCAGAATGAGTAAAAACGAAAAAGATGTGTTGAGAGAGACCCCGTGGAGGACGACTGTCAACTGGAACAACCCTTTTGAGGTAATAATCAATAAGCATTTTACCGAATTATTAGATTTTTATCAATTTCAATACATGTATTTTGTATCATTCTAATATGTGAGTTTTACTCTAAAATGCATTGACTTACATTCACATTATGTTCAATGCATCTCGTCGTGAGCTATTTTAGACTAAGAGGTCGTACGTTATTGTTTTAGACTTCAGTGGAACCTCAATGTTTTACCGCTTCTATCGAGTGTTTGTATCCTTTCATGTGCTTTTTTGTAGACTTCAGTGGAATCTCAATATGTAAGTGATTGTAGCCTCACATGTGCTTATTTTAGACTTTAGTGTAATCTCAGTGTTGACGGTTCTATCGAGGGGTTAAGTGGAATGTCAATATCACGTGCTTGTTTAAGACCTCAGTGTAATCTCAGAGTTTTCACGCTTCTATCGAGGGGTTGTGCTCTCGTGTTCTTGTTTTAGACCTCCATGTAATCTCAATATGTTAACGCTTTTATCGAGGGGTTGTAGCCTTTCACGTGATTGCTTTAGACTTCAGAGGAACCTCTATGTTTTACCGCTTCTATCGAGTGTTTGTAGCCTCTAACGTTCTTGTTTCAGACCTCAGTAAAATCTCAGTTGTTACCGCTTCTATCTCGAGTATTTGTAGCCTCTCATTTGCTTGTTTTAGACTTCGGTGTAATCTTAATATGTTAACGCTTTTATCGAGGGGTTGTAGCCTCTCACGTGATTGCTTTAGACTTAAGTGTAATCTCCAAGTATTGACCCTTCTATGGAAGGGCTGTAGCCTCACACGTGCCTCTTTTAGACTAGCGGAATTTCAAAGTGTTGATGCTTCAATCGAGGGATTGTAGCCTTTAGCGTGCTTTTTGTAGGTTAATGAAATCTCAGGATGATGCCGCTTCTATCATAGGCTAGCATTATTGTCTCTCACATGCTTCTTTTAAACTTTAGTGGAATCTCAAAATGAATTGATGCATATTGAAATATAACATATGATATCTATGCAATTTATAGAGTTTAGAAGAACTTAAAGATGACTGCGAGAATTACGAACCGTTGGGTGAACTTTTGCCAGGCGATGTCCATTTCCCCAAGGTCAATATTCTTCTATTAGGCAGGGTTGGAAGCGGAAAATCCAGCGTTTTCAACACGATTAACTCATGTTTTCGTGGAAAAATCTTCAATGTGGCAAGGAGTGGTAGCACTAAACATAGTCTTACAACAAAGGTAAGCGAGCACAACAAATGAATCGTACAGGGCACCCACCTGTCCAATAAACAAAATAACATATTGGATACCAAAGTATCAATAACAGTAGTATACAATCTAACGACCACGCCACAAAGAAGATCACACTGCTATTTATGCCCTTTGTCAAAAAAGCAAACTATCTATTGAGAAAATGATAAGAATATCGCCAACGTATCTAATTTCTTTTTCTATAACTGGCTTTAACCTTGTTATCGATAATTGGATTATCTTCTTATTAAGACACAGCCGTTTTTATGTCAGGTCCTTCATGAATATCAAACTCAAGACAGATATAAAATAATCAAGATCTTAAGAACTTTATCAACTTAAAACAAAGTCTGACACATGGGTACATACATGACATATTTAATTACATTGGACTGGATAAGTTATTTAAGAAGTTTATTCACTATTAAGATAATTTCACTATTAAGACCACTTAAGACCAATCAGTGGTCTCAATAGAGAGAGGGATGTTTTTTGAGCGATCATTCAAAAGCAGTGGTTTACATAGAAATGATATTATTACTTTAAATATAGGACATTATAATTATTCTCATAATTTTTGTTTATGTTTTATTTTATGATAGTTCACAAAGTATCCAATACTGTCCGGAAGAAGTACATTGCGACTGCCATTGAAGTTTCGAATCTGTGACACGCGAGGTCTTGAAGTCAATCATCTGATGAGCAAGGAAAATATGCGCTATATACTAGAGGGGAATATTCCTGACCGATATCCGGTAAGTACACGTAGTAACCGCTGCTATTGTTATAATCAAATATACGCATTTTGAGAGTTTCTTTGTAGATCCCTACCCTGACCTTCCATTTGAATAACAATAGATTTAGCCACAAACATTGACATGTGCTCTTTTATGAGACAAATTCTTATCGGCTCCACTATTCTGATAATTAGAATGAGGTCAGGGATCTTTGCATTGTCACCACAACCCTATCTTGGAAATAGCCGCTAATGAACTACTGTGACTTCGATAAAGGCCGTGACAGACATATAATTACATTCACTAAAATGTCCTTATGCCGCTACCTGGACATATTCCATGTTGACCCACAATAAACCTATCCAGAAGACTTTATATATTGAAATATATTTATATCATAATTGATTATTTTTCATAGTTTTTTCTCCCTGTACTGTGTCCAGTATTTAATTAGTCGAGGTTAGTTTAATCATAATGATATTTAAGTTTACATACATGAAATGAGCCGCGTCAAGACAAAACCAACATAATGGGTTTGCGACCAGCATGGATCCAGACCAGCCTGCGCATCCGCACAGTCTGATCAGGATCTATGCTGTTCGCTTACAAACCCTATAGCAAGATAGAGAAACTGATAGCGAACAGCATGTATCCTGATCAGACTGCGCGGATGCGCAGGCTGGTCTGGTTCCATGATTATGTTGGTTTTGTCGTGCCGCGGCTCAAATGAAATAATAATACACAATTATACATACATTAATGTAAATATACAAAAGGATCGGGCCAAAAGTAATAACAACTTTTACGGGCGCCAAACAAATAAAAACTGGAAAAATAGACTTACTAAGTTGTGTTTATAATAACTAAGATTTTTTAATATAGATAAAAAATAAATGATGAATGGTCGCCAATAAATTTGGTTCTCAATAGCATACGGTACCTACGAAATGATACTAAACACAAGTATCGCTGACTTTCAAGTGACGTTTTGCCGCTCTTCATAAAGCAGTATATAGGGAAGGTTTTATCATTTAAAAAGTAGAGTAATAATATCGTTTTATAAACAGTTTTTTTTTTCGTACGAAAAACCTTCGGATATAGTTATTTCGGACTTGCAGCTGTACCTTTGGACCTATAGTTATCTTTATGTGGCAGTTAGGTTTTTATAATAGTTTAATTTTGTGAAATATAAGATAAATAAACGTTATCATTAAAAGGTGAAAATTGTTCTGTGTTGTAATATCTTGTTAAAGTTATGAAACATATCTAGCAGGAAAAGGTTTCTTCTTAAACCATGGTGCATATTAAAATAAACTCTGCTACACTTTTGACTCATCTATATCAGGTACGTCCCAATTGCAGTGCCTTCAGCACTTTGATTTAATAAAGCATCTGCCCTCACGAAAATGTATACCAAATTGTCCTTTTGTCTTTATGTTTGTGTCAATGTTTTAATGTTACTTTTTTAACTATGGCGGAGAATTGTAAATTGTTGTGGTTGGTTATCGGTTTGTAAATAATTAAAGAAGATGTTGATGAAGGACGGACAATAATGGAGACAGTAAAACGAATTTCTGTCGTTGTACCTACAACTACGACTACTATACAGACAACTTCATTCTGGTGTTCAAATTATACTTAAAGCAGCATGATACAAACATACTGTGACTACATTGAGTGTTTTCTACTCAGTTAATGCTAAGGCATACCTAGAAATATATTTTAAGTATTTAGTCCTTTGTACCCTATGACACTTTCGTTTTAGACAAAGCTTTATACCACCATTTTTTCTACTTGTAATCGTTTTATTAAATAGCTCCCTTTTGATATGAAATACACCTTTTAGGAAATTAAGCATCGTGAATTGAATTAAAGATAATACATTTCGAGACTAATTTCAGCTCGATCCTTGCGGAAACATCTCGTCTGATATGCCTGGATTCAAGAAAAATCCCGGTCTTGACGATAAGATCCACTGTGTTGCTATAGTCCAAGATGCTACCATTGTTGATGCCATGCAAGATTTGGACCCATTGACCACCAAAAATATAAAGGACATGCAAACCGTTATGAATAGTTTAGGTAACAGGGGGTCGAGCGTAAATGTCTATTACTTTTTAAGTGAGGTAAAATGGAACGATACGAGATAATGGCGGAGGAAAGTGTTAATAATAATGTAGGTAAAAGCCGGCTTGTTTTAAATATTTGTATGTAACAATTTTTGTTAGTAAAATATAGTATATAATTTTTATTTAAATTATTAGCACTGTCAAAATTATCTAACCTTTTGTAGCGTACAGTTATCAAATCGTACATATAAATATTTGGACAACACACGTCAATATATATCTTTGCACAAGCATATTTGCTATACAGCTCAATGATCAGTATCTACATAAGTTGTAAGCAGTAATAGCAACTAACATTCACATTATGGGCTTTGATCTATGACTTTTTTCTGACACAAAGTCAGTCACTATCTGTTCACCTTCAATAACTTTTTCACCATTGAACCAAAACTTTGTCATTTTAGAAATAAATTACTTTAAGATTTCTATAAAATATATTCGCTCTGACGTGTGTTTTCGTTATAAAATCCGCCATCAATCTGTATCATACCATTTCGCCTCGCTTAAAAAGTATCGGACCTCTATACGTTCGACCACCTTAGGTAAGTCTAATCTGATATAAGAGGTTTATTTTGAAGAAAAAAAACAACAACAAAAAACGTTAAACTGAATGTTTTGAAGATAGTTCAAAACAATAGGATAATGTAGACTCAAGACGTTTTAAAATCACATTTTCACACTTAAAGGAACTCCACTGAGGTCCAATAGCCTAAAATAATACATTTGAAATTATTTTTTAAAACCAAGCAATAGATGATATATAAATATTGTTACGAGCCAGGCGTAACTAGAAAGAAAATCCAGCAACAAACTTGTAACAATATAACAAATTTATTACAGAAAAAATATTAAAGAAAAATAAAATAACAAATAACGTTTACAAATACCTGAAGTCCAAATAAAAGTGAAAATCTTAAATGTCTAGTCTGATCCTGGAATGATCCTTTTTGAATAGCACAGTTAAATCCAAGTTAAATCCAAGAACACTTTAGAATAAATTCCCACAATAAAATCCACTAGAATAATTTTAACTATTTTAAAATAATCCAAGCTCCAATAAATCACTTAATTTCCAAGTTGAATAATACACCGTAGGGAACGTGTTACAGTATCGCGTTTTTCGGTTACAGTATAGAATTTTCAAGATGGAGGATTATTTATGGGAAGAGAGGTAGGTGATTTTTATTCAGGTCCATACTTCTAGTAGTTTAGTTTCTAAAAGATGTTTTTGTGCTTTGCTTGTAAGGAACAGAATCCGGTATCTAGTCATATATTTCTTCAGACCCTGCACCGCAGATTTATCGCTATATTGTCTCATAAATAGGCAGATTTGACAGTTTGAAAATTTGAATCGAGAGACCAACGCATTTTCCTGCAATTTCGACATTATTTATGCATGCCTAGAAAAAGTAAATCTGCAAAACGTTAGTCCTTTATGTTAGGAAACGTTTATAAAAGTAAATGACTAGTTGAACCTATTTTCCTGTTCGTTTAATGCGTTTGAAAAAATAAACAATGTTACAGTATAGAGCGAAGTAATTTGTGCAGGGTTACAGCATAGACCTAGCGATTTGTATCCGATTTTGTTACAGTTTATACCCAGATTTCGGTTACAGTTTAGACTTCGATATTTTCTATATATACTAGGTAAAATGTATGAATGTTACATAGACTTTTAAATCTCTGTGAGCTTATTGGCCCGATGGCTATTCGTCCGTCTGACGTACACAAGTGTATGCAATCCCATCCGCTCAGTAACTACTAGACTAAATTTAAATGTGATGAAATTTACATGACTTTCTACCAATTAAGTTGTTCAAATGGTTTTGGTTGCAATCGGGGATACGAAAACCCAAAACATAGGTTTTGAAAAAAGGCAATGTTTAAAGACCCTTCTCATCTCGAACCAAAAGTATTCAAATCAAATCATGATCATGGCGTCATTTCGAATGCTTATTTGTTGAAGTTACGATTATTTTGTCATTATTAAATAAAAAGTCGTTTTTTTTTATTTCAGACATCCTGTATAGCAGTTTTCATGTTTCTGAAAAAGAAAATAATATTGAAAGTTATAGAGTATACATTAAGGTCAGACAATTACAATATCTTCTCTAGTGAGCCTGATGGAGGTACATAATAGTGGCAGAGTCGGGATAAGGCCGCCGACTTCAAATCATCTTTCATTTACTGTAGTTGAAATCCAATCATGACTTTGGATTCTTTGTATGTGAGAAATCTATCAAGCTAATTGACGGAAAGTCAGTGGTTCTAGTCAGGTGCCCGCTCGTGTCTGAAATGTTTCACAGAGGGTATCTGGGGTCTTTCTTAACACTAAAGCAGGAATGTTTTCACATGACCTTAATGTCGTTGAATTTTAAAGAAAGCCAAACGTAACAAAATAGAGTTAAACAGAATCCCTAAAGAAATTTCAACACAACAAAATTGAAAATGTTCACAAACCCTTTTAAATACTTACAAAATACATTATTGTACATGGAAATTCCAACATAAAAAAATTAAGGTTGCAGCACTAGTATTGCGCACTTAAATACTGTTTAATCATTCTTAGGGTATTGCCTGCTTGTCAATTGTGTCTTTTGACAGCTTATCTATGGTATGCAGGCTTCATAACCTCCGATCCCCTCTCAAAATTTCATTTTGTTTAGTTTCACTCATTGTATTCTCGCTTAGGGTACACGCAATTTTTTACCTGGGGGTAATATGCCGCTTTTCATAGAATGGCAATAACGTGTCACATTGAAGGTTCCATGATAACCGCCATATGAACACATCCACAGATGTTAAAAAATCTGAAGTGTACCAGTTCATGTTTAATGTGAATTCTGCTGAAGCCGGTGCTAGGAGGCGTGGACGGTAGCTTGCAGTTACCACTACCGTCCATGAACAGGTTTAATCAAACTGAGCCTGCAACATTTTCATGTTTTCCGTGTTGGACTTCTGTTAAGGATTCTTTTTTCTCTATTTTATTACTAATAGGCATTATTATAATGTGTAATGAAATCAAGCAATAATCTTTCTTCTCTCAATACAATTCGATAAAAGTTACTGTTGTTGTCGTGAAAACAGTCCTTACTTAGGACATTACTTATTCTGCAAAAAGTCTCAATCTGAAACTTAAAGTAAGAAAAATAGCAAACTATAACTTTTCTGCTGAAGAAAAAAAGTAATACAACCTTTCAAGAATGTATTAAATAGAAAGGTATGAGTTATTTCATAAAAATAATGGATACACGAACTTTGTTTGAAATTTGGCAAGTATCTAAACTGTAACCGAAATCTGGGTATAAACTGTAACAAAATTGGATCAAAGTCGCTAGGTCTATGCTGTAACCCTTCAAAATTAACCTCGCTCTATACTGTAACATTGTTTATTTTTTCAAACGCATTTTACCAACAGGAAAATAGGTTCAACTGGTTATTTTCTTTTATAAACGTTTCTAAATATAAAGGACTAACGTTTTGTAGATTTACTTTATTTAGGCATGCTTAAATAATGTCGGAATGGGAGAAAAATGCGATGGTCTCTCGATTCAAATTTTTAGACCGTCAAATCTGGCTATCTATGAGACAATTTAGAGATAAATCTGCGGTGCAGGATCTGAAGAAATATATGACTAGATACCGGATTCTGTTCCTTACAAGCAAAGCACAAACACATCTTTTAGAAACTAAACTACTAGTAGTATGGACCTGAATAAAAATCACCTACCTCTCTTCCCATAGATAATCCTCCATCTTGAAAATTCTATACTGTAACCGAAAAACGCGATACTGTAACACGTTCCCTACGGTGTAATACTCCAAATATATTGATGACTTAAAAGATCACTGATGACTTAAAAAAGGTACAAGAAATGAAAAATATGCCGTAATATATATAAACTAGGAACATTCCAGAATAGTCTATTATGTTCTAGAGTAATCATAATCTAGCACTTTCAACAATAAAGAACAGTCCGGAAGTTTCTAACTAAATATAATGCATTTTTCTACAACAGTTAAGAAAGTTCTAGTACATACATGTAGTTTATGTTCTAAAAATAGAACAATGATAATATTGGAAATACCAACTGGTCAGATATAAATTATATACATGTAATATGTTGCATACATAACAATATACACAGTATTAAACTGATAATCAATTTTGATGCGATTTTTGGCCGATTTGAGTGTAAAGCGTTTAAACGGTTTTCATCTATTGGGCTAATTTGCACAATTAAATTGATTATTTCTCGAAAACGGAGTGAGCGAATGTTCTTAATTTGTGTACTTGAGTTATTGGTCTTGACATACATCTAGTAATACTAACGTCTTGATAATATATTTTTGGTCCTTTCACATAAAAAACCTCAGTGGAGTCCCTTTAAAATCTGCAGGTAAAGTCGAGTGTTAAAGTTAATAATCTTTCTCAAGTTGTTCAATATTGTCTTAACCTTCAGATATCCCGCAAGCTGTAATTTTAACTAAAATTGACAGCATTTCTAATATGACTGAAGACGACCCGGCAAATGCCTTCAGGAGTCAGAAAGTGGAAATATGTGTCGCCAAGGTAACAACTTAGATCTTTAATATCACATCGGTTTTTATTTGCAGTTTTGATAGAGGTTTGATTTGTGCTTTGTTGAATGATTGAATAGGAAGATTTAAAGGTGATTTTAAATAATAACATAAGAATAATTTTATGTCTTTGGAGTTCCAGCATTGTTCCTAATGTTTGTCAGAGATTATATATTACATTTCAAGCAATACCTCATGTACTTTTTAAACACATTCCTTTCGAATTATGAAGGAAAATAATCCTGTTTTACGGGGCTATCTTATTCGTGTATAACTGATTTGAGGATGTAAAAAAATAAATACACTAAGAAAAAAAGTAGTACATCTGTTTTAGTTATATTTCCAGGTATCAGAGGTGCTTGGGATAAATAGAAATATGGTTTTTCCTATGATGAACTACGAGGCCGAGGACCAACTGAATCCTAGCATTGACATCATGTCCCTTTTCACCCTTAAGGGCTTATTGAACACATGTGACGCCCACCTGTTTCATCACTATGACGACATTGTTGAGAGGTACGCCGTAACTCAGAGTTAAAGCAACTGTCTGATCACTCATTAGATGTGAATTACTAGTACGTCTTATATAACGTCATCAAGTGCAAAAAAAAACAACAACAAAAAACTGTTTTTCATCCATATTTTGTCAAATGGAGGAGACCCGCACTACTTTTTGTATAAAGTGGCAAATATGTGTGAAGTTGGCGGCCTGGCGGCGTAAAGTTGGAGGCCTAGCGGCCTGGCAGCCTGGCGGCGTGAAGTTGGCGGCCTAGCGGCCTGGCGGCGTGAAGTTGGCGGCCCAGCGGCCTGGCGGCCAAAAAAATTAATGTTAAAATTAAAAAAGAAATGTTATTTTAACAATAAAACGGTATTTGATGAAGTTTTAAAGATAATTATTGTTATTTAAAGGATATATAAAAAGAAAAAATCACTTTCAGAGAATTTTTTTTTTATTTTGTCATTTTTGTGAAGTTGACGGCCCAGCGGCCTGGCGGCCGAAAATTTTAATGTGGTAGAAATGTTATTTTAACAATAAACGGCATTTAATGAAGTTTGAAAAGATAAACATTGTTATTCAAAGGATATATAAAAAGAAAAAATCACTTTCAGAGATTTTTTTTATTTTGTCATTTTTGTGAAGTTGGCGGCCCAGCGGCATGGCGGCCTGGCGGCCAAAAAAAATTATGTTACAGAAATATTATTTTAACAATAAAACGGCGTTTTTGAAGTTTTAAAGATAATTATTGTTATTTAAAGGATATGTAAAAAGAAAAAATCACTTTCAGTGAAATGTTTTTATTTTGTCATTTTTGTGAAGTTGGCGGCCCAGCGGCCTGGCGGCCTGGCAGCCAAAAATTTTAGTGTGATGGAAATGTTAATTTTACAATAAAACGGCACTTAGTGTAGTTTTAAAGATAAACATTGTTATTTAAAGGATATATAAAAAGAAAAAATCACATTCAAATATTTTTTTTTTATTTTGTCATTTTTGTGAAGTTGGCGGCCCAGCGGCCTGGCGGCATGGCAGCCAAAAATTTTAGTGTGCTGGAAATGTTAATTTTACAATAAAACGGCATTTAGTGAAGTTTTAAAGATAATAATTGTTATTTAAAGGATATATAAAAAGAAAAATCACTTTCAGAGAATTTTGTTTTATTTTGTCATTTTTGTGAAGTTGGCGGCCCAGCAGCCTGGCGGCCTGGCAGCCAAAAATTTTAGTTTTTGATGTGTGGCGTTTTCTCTAACTGTACACAAGTGCATATCAACCCGTGTCCAAAAAATATCTGATGCATTTGTAACTATTTGAAACAAAACCGGTCAAATAAGAAAAAGATCCATTAGACAGCCAAATGTAATAGTACTTATATATATAACCATGATTCGACCATGAATATAACACTTAAACGGTCGCTCTGTCTACTGCGCTATCAAGGCACATAAAAATCTCACGTTTTACTTTGTGTTTAATTCATAAGGAATCAGCTTGCCTTACTTTTTTATGGAAAGCCATGGCTGTCTTATATTGCTCTTTTTCAATTTATTTAACCATTTGGACAATATATAAGTTCGCTTCGACTATATGAATTGAAAACACCTTCTTATTTAACCGGAATCCATTATATTAATCCACAGCTACAATATATGAAACCATACCGTCAGTGTATGAAACAGAGTTAGCAATATATAAGTTGATTTTCTCGATATATGATTCCAGTTTTTCAATATATGGTACCAAAGTAGCCATGTATGGAATCAGATATCCTTATATGAAACCGAAATTTCAATATATTAATTCATAAATTTATAAAACCAAAGTAGAAATATATAAGTTGGTTATCACATGATATGATACCAATTCTTCAGTATATGGTACCAAAATAGCCATATATGGAACCAGATATCCTGGTATTAAACCGAATTATCAATATATTAATTGATTTTTCAATATATGAAACCAGTGTATCAATTTATGAAACCAAAGTAGAAATATATAAGTTGGTTATCACATTATATGATACCAATTCTTCAATATATTGTACCGAAGTAGCCATATATGAAACCAGATGCCCTTATATGAAACCGAATTATTAATATATTATTCCATTTTATTAATGAATGGAACCAAAGAAGCAGTATATATGTTGATGTTACATTCTATGATAGAAATATTCATTATATGGAACCAATTTAGCCTATTTTCAGGTCAACAAGTCACTGGGTTCTGTTATAACAATGCATACACTTTTTCATGAAATTAATTATTTGACTGGTTATTTTGAAACTTTGTGAGTAGATGTTATAACCAACTAACATATTTCTACTTTGGTTTCATAAATTGATAAGTTGGATTCATATATTGAAAATTAATTGATATATTGATAATTCGGATTCATTTAAGGATATCTGATTCCATACATAGCTACTTTGGTACCATATATTGAAGAACTGGAATCATATATTGAGAAAATCAACTTATATCACGGGGGAGAATCACGCCGTTCGTTACCCAAACAAACAAGATGGCGGATGCAGCCAAAAAGTAGGGTTTTCCCTTTTTCTCTGAAATTCGTGATGTTCTAATGTAAAAGTACATATAACAACCTTCAATTTCCTGGCACACATGATTTTATTTCATGATGTTTCGTCCCGTGCTTCATCTGAAATGCGCGTCACCAGATTCGAAGCGAGAGAATTTTCCATCGATATCTATTATGCCACCAGCTATAAAGATAATTATATCCGATGGTACAGCATTGTTCAATTAATAATTTCTGACATGACCAACATTTTTTCAGATATCTATCATTTCCTACATAAGAATAATTCATTATCAGCTGATTGGACAAATGGAAATCCACCCAGTAGTTAAATGCGCCGTAAGTTATCATTGATAACGTTATCATTTCCGAAAAATGCCCCGATATTAATATTTACAGCAGTAAATCTAGCCAGAATGAGCATGACTGCTTAGATGACGACATATTAGTAGTCAGTGGTTTCAGTTAACATACATATATGTAAAAGAAACGGTGAATTTGAGAGAAAAAGTCACAAAAATGAGAAAATAAAAAGTTCTCTGAAAGTGATTTTTTCTTTTGATATATCCTTTAAATAACAATAATTATCTTTAAAACTTCATTAAATGCCGTTTTAGTGTTAAAATAACATTTCTACAACATTAAAATTTTTGGCCGCCAGGCCGCTGGGCCGCTGGGCTGCCAACTTCACAAAAATGACAAAATAAAAAAGTTCTCTGAAAGTGATTTTTCTTTTTATATATCCTTTAAATAACAATAATTATCTTTAAAACTTCATTAAATGCCGTTTTATTGTTAAAAAAAACATTTCTACAACATTAAAATTTTTGGCCGCCAGGCCGCTGGGCCGCTGGGCTGCCAACTTCACAAAAATGACAAAATAAAAAAGTTCTCTGAAAGTGATTTTTCTTTTTATATATCCTTTAAATAACAATAATTATCTTTAAAACTTCATTAAATGCCGTTTTATTGTTAAAAAAACATTTCTACAACATTAAAATTTTTGGCCGTCAGGCCGCTGGGCTGCCAGGCCGCCAACTTCACAAAAATGAGAAAATAAAAAAGTTCTCTGAAAGTGATTTTTTCTTTTGATATATCCTTTAAATAACAATAATTATCTTTAAAACGTCACAAAATGCCGTTTTAGTGTTAAAATAACATTTCTACAACATAAAATTTTTGGCCGCCAGGCCGCTGGGGCTGCCAACTTCACGCCGCCAGGCCGCTGGGCCGCCAACTTCACGCCGCCAGGCCGCTGGGCCGCTTGGCCGCCAACTTCACGCCGCCAGGCCGCTGGGCCGCCAACTTCACACATCTAAATAAATATTTATCTACTTTTTGTAGCATGTGCTTTTGATTGTATTTTGCTGTAGTTTTTTTTTTTCATGTTTATTTACTTTATACAGATACAGGAATTGTTTTAATTATCATATGTTTAGATGAGCAGTTTGAAAGGTTTACTTATTACGTTAAGCTGGCAAGGCTGTTGATAAAATATAATTTCGTTTCAAAAGGAAATATTAGCTACCTTTATGTACTTTTCAATTAGAACTATTACTACTAGGATAAAAATGGATACTTTAACTTGGGCATGTAAATTTATTTTATTATAAGTAAACTTACTTTTATGAAGTTTGATTTTCTTCACCATTTATGAAATCCTTTGATTTTTTAAAAATAAATAGAGATAAAAAGTTTACTTCCTACATTTTATATTTCTAAATTATGTAAAATTAAGGCATTTAATGCTGTAATAGACAAGTACTCGTATATGTAAGTATATCACTAACTATGAAGAAACACATCTTCCTGTAATGGCAGAAATAATTAAACAAGTTGACTTGTATAAGCTGGCAATATATTATATAGTGATAGTAGAGCTTGAATTCACATTGTATTGTAGAGTATCTACACTGTCTAATTCATAACTTTTCCTAACCCTGATTAAAATACGATGACCTAATTGATGTAACGCCGCTGCTCAGTGGTTACAGTGCACATTATTATATTTGGATGGCTGTACCAAGTGTTGTATGCACAGTGTTGTGATCGTAATTTTGTCCATATGTAGATATGATATGAGCCGCGTCACGACAAAACCAACATAGTGCGTTTGCGACCAGCATGGATCCAGACCAGCCTGCGCATCCGCGCAGTCTGATCAGGATCCATGCTGTTCGCTTACCAACCCTATTACACGTAGAGAAACTGATAGCGAACATCATGGATCCTGATCAGACTACGCGGATGGAAACATACTGGTCGCAAACGCACTATGTTTGTTTTGTCGTGACGCGGCTCATATATTTTAAAAAGCTAACATCCTTATTTGTTACTGATAAGTTTGATACGTTTTTTATTAAAACTGTCTTAAACAAATAAATAATTATATTATGTTGTTTTTATAATAAAATGACTTGAAACTTGAATTTGGTTTGTCTTGCAACGGTACTCCGTGAAAATAAGCGTGTAATGATCTTAGGAAGTGCTTCTAGTGTATTTCCGCCTGTTTTCATGTTTTAAATATTCTTCGTTTTTTTAGGCAGCTGGACTGCCAAATTTAGGATGCTAAACTGCCTACTTCAGGCTATTGGCTGCCAATTTAGGTTGTTAAGCTGCCAATTTTAGGTTAT